ATCCAGGTGACCCCCACTCATGCAAAATATCTCACTTTTTAATACCTGGTTTTTACTCAGATTCAAAAAAGGATTAATTCTCTTTTTTTCGTGAAAATGTTTTGCAGCTGTGCATTCCATACTGAGTTTTTCCTCCACCAAAGAGTGAAAGAAATACAGTGTATTGTTTATACAAGATACTGATAATACAAAAGGCTGGTTACCATTATAATTCCTTTCAAAAGTTACATATAAAATGTAAAGAAAATGTATATGCATTTCTGGACCTATGATAAAAATATAGTATTAACAATGACAAATTTATTGTACAATTGAAATTTCAGTCACTCTATTTCAATATCTCTGAAGTCTTCTGAGATGTTGTGTTGAGGTTAAGCCAGGAAAGGGCAATATTTATGTTTATGAATCAAGGTTTAAACTTGCATTGAAGCAGAAGGAAATCACCTCAGTCTCTAAGCATCCTTTATTCCATGTGCTACACTTAATATTTACCATATGAAATGATAGACATTGATTAAAGCTTAACAAAAGCTATCTGCATCAAAATTAAAGCAAAGTCAGAAGGTGGACCAGGAGTCTGAATTATGTTCTCAGTAGACTGAAATCTGATATTTAACACTGTTTAACTATAGAATTTTATGATCGAATACCTTAGGAGGACATCCCAGTAGGCAATTTCACTGTCCGCTGAAAGGCTTACATAAATAAGAGCTGGATGGGAAACTGACACAATGTGGTCACAAGAAGTTTAGTTTAGCATACTATCCATGTAAAAATAAACACCTTCTTGATAAGAAGAGATTAAACAAAAAGCCTTCTAGATCTGTCAGGTGAAGCAAAGTAAAACATGGTTATCAGTGACTTTAATTGCCTAAAAGAGATTTGTTGCAATGTTAGAAGATCTAAGAAATTAGTTCAGTGTTTTAAGGTAAGACAAGTTTATAAAAAGCCAGCTTTTCAAAAGCTTAGAATAATGCTTTTAATGCCTTATATTTTTTAAGTGATGCAGGTTCTTACTGGTTTTATGGAAATTTCTAACATTGTATATGTGTGTTTAGAGTCTCTGTTAAGAATAAAACTATATTTAACTTGTTATAAAACTATTTCAATTAATGATAAATAAATTTAAAGTAGAAAAATTGAAATAATTATCTTTTTAAAAATATTCTGCTCCTTTAGATATTAGAAATAATCCTACAAAAAGAAACCACTGTGCACATATGGCCTTCTATCTTCATTAATTAAATATCTTTATATCTCTACACACAGTAATAATTTATTAAATGGAAAGCAAAATTAACTCAAGATGATTACAGTAATTATATTTTAATCCTTTACTGGGGATGGTTTTAAATACAATTTAAATAGTAAAAACATAAAAGAAGTCAGTAGAAAAATTGACTATGCAACTATTCAAAAATTAGAATAGAATTTTATTTAGCTTCCACAGAGGCCATATACTTTTGAAAACATACTTTTTTTTTTTAATCTGTATCATACTGTGTACAGTCAGGAAAAAAGATATGCATGTCCTTCATCCCACCTATTTCAGACATAGAGAAGCCGCAGGCAGTGTCTCTCTCTTCAGCATTTATAAGAGAGTCAGACAACCACTTTAGTCTGAGCGTTCAACATCTTGGCTTTTCAGTTGTCCTGCTCTGAGCCAGCCAGATAAATTCAAGATTTTCAGCTGAGTTACTGTAATTCTGCCTTAAGTCATGGGGTGATACAGGATGCCAAAGGCTGAAACTTAGCATTTTTCTCTAAGTAGACTATACTCTGTGCTGTCAGATATGGATAACTCACTTTTTACAGAACAGCAGCACTGGGAGCAAGGCCACCAGGACCAAGATTTCAAGGGAAGAAAATTTTTATGGGTAGGAAAAGTACCCGTAGAGTACCATCAATGTAATTTACAGTACATGATACATGTTGATAGTAGCAACAGCTTCTCCCTGTGGATGTCAGAATGATTACAGGGAAAGCCTAGTGGCTAGGGCATATTTTGTCTGGACCCTAAATAGCCAACATTCTCTGATTGACTCCAAATCTTATCAGGTAACACCACCAGCGATCATCTCAGATTTCCAAATTCTGATCCCCCCTGAGCTTTCAACTACAAAATCATTCTTCCTGTCTCAAGTTATAATTCTTCCTTCCTGGAGTTGTCAGCAGCTTCCTTATGGACCAAATATCACCATGAATGATAACAGAAAAAGGAATCCATTTAGTTCCTTTCCATCAACCCGGAGGGATTTCATCTTAATATTTGAACAGGGAAATATTTTTTTACATATTTATATCTTAAATCTAAATCATATCTGACAAGTTTTTTTGGTGTTTTGTAGGTTATGTGCTGCTTTCTTGTTGAATTTAAAGTAATATGATCAAGAAAATAAGAAATTAATTTACCTGTATTCTCGCAGATCTGGTTGCAAAATACCAGTCACCTTTCTTTTAGTGCATGCTCACAAAAAAGCCCAGAACACCAAAACTCAGGGCAAAAAGCAGCCAAAACATCATACACCTCTAAACAGAACCATAAAGGGCTGAAGAACCTTTTGCTTCAATAAACTGAAAAGTAAAATTCATGTTTATTTGTAAGACCCAGGAGAGTTTCCATGCTCCCTTAGGAGCATTAATTCTGCCTTAACTTATTCTGTAAATCAAGAAGAGACAACAAGTATGAAAGCAGGTTAGCTGTGTGGTTGTTCACAACGTAGATCTGTTATCTGATGACTACCCTAGAGCTGAAGATTTAAGATATGCCAGGCTTCAAACTCCATGTTATTCCTGTATGTAGTTACTCTGCATTCATTACAGTAATGAAACTACTGTAACAAGCTTTAACAATGATGGATTTTTGGCAAAAAAATTGTTACCAAAAATCGAGTAAATCCTGGAAAATGATGATACACAATATTATATTCTTTCATTTGCTTTTCACTTTAAAGGGATAATTGATTTTTATTTATTTGTTTACGTATTACAAAGTGGTGATCGTAGGGTATCTAAAGATCAGCAAAAGCTAAGAATATGTCAGAATATATCGTGAAATGATAAGATTTTGCAATAGTGTTTATAGAATATTTTTATTGAGATAAAGGACAATTAAGGATTTTTATTAGACACAGGTGATAATTCAAAATGAAGGCATAGTAAAGTCTGCATTTTAATGGATCAAAGAAAGATTGTCTTATGAAAATTCAGATCTATTTTTGGCTGTCAGTTAAGATATCCTGTGATTTTACGTTTGTTTCATATGATAATTGAAGTTATCTCCCTCAATCTGCCTGAAGGTCACTTTTAGCACTAATTGATGGCTAATTTTGCTTGGTGGGAACCATAATTTCTGTAGTTAAGATTTGAGAACCGTTTGAACCACAAAGAAAAAGAAATTAATGAAGATATTAAACAAACAAAAAAATTAAATTACCAATACTGTGTACAAAGGGAGTCTGTGCTAATGTGGTTATAAAGACCTTTTTCTGTTATTTAAGACAGACCTTATTCCCTTATTTAAGCAAGGTGTTTTAAAGCTCAGTGTATTTATACACCCCCAAAAGACACGGAGTGTCTCAGACAGTTTTAATTCTCAGTCTTTTATATTTTCCTATAATTGCTTTGGGTGAAATGTTGCCCTCAAGTCTCAGTCTTGGCACTGAAATCAGTGGGAGTCACACAAGTTCTGCAAGGGCTGTAACTTGGAATTTAGTGAGCAGTGAATCAGCCTGACTCATCACAACAGTTTTCAACATTTATATTAAGAAGGAGTTTTTTAAAATGGTGTGTCCCTGAGATCTCAAATGCTGATCAGAGCTGATTCAGATGGTCTTTACAATCAGAACCTAAACATAATTTAAAAAATCACATTTGAAAAAAAAAAAATCTTTTTTTTTCAAACTAAATTATTCTGATTAAGGTAAATATATTTTTAATGTAAATGAAATTTAAGTTAAATTACATTAAACTAAATGTCCCACAAACCTTGGCTGCTGTACATGCTTACCAGGTAATACTGCCTTAAATCTTCCCTCCTACCCTATGCTTTTGTTTCTAGGACAGGACATTGTTTTAGGGTGTTTCTGACTCAGGATTTATGCAGACACATGCAGTGTCAAAGCCTTTAAATTTACACCAGCTTTCCAAAAATGGCATCTATACATCCTACCAGTGTTATACTGTGTTTAATACATGATGTTATCCATTCAGTAATTAATTTATTATATGTGCTTATGAAAGCAGAATGGTACAGAGAGATTAACTGTGCAATATGTCAAAATAAGTAAACTTTATATTAGCCAGAACTTCCAACTTATAGCATACCACACAAAAATGTTTTAGGACCTGAATCTTTCCACCCTGTGTATTGTCTGAGAGTCAGCTGCAAAGTCAGAGAGAAAGCAGCTTATTTTACAGTAGCTGCATGGCATTTTTAATAACACTACCAATAAATAAAACAATAGTTTTAATATGATAAAACCTACTTGTATATTCACTAAATTGTCAATGAATACCACAGTAGATGACTTTTACGGACATGTTTGACTTAACAAAAACCACTTAAAACGTATGTTGCAGTTACAAACAGATGGGAAGTTGACAGAAAGCTAGCACTTTGTTTTACATCACTTGGTTTTGATTCATAGCCTTGTGGCACAGTTCTCCTATAACACCAGTTTGGCATCCATTGTGTTCAGTGTGAAAGAATGAGTCTTGTTCTTGCAGGGTTACAAAATCAATGCCTAACAGCTCCTTCATCTGTCCAGCCAAAAGAAAAAAGTACCCTAGCACAAAGTAAGGATAGAAGATAAGACAATGTTGACAATTCTGTCATTTATTTGTCGCTTTGTATCCTTAATGGCCTTTAGTCATTATTAGTATGTTTGGTTTTTAATCCTCTCTGCATGTACAGACTTATTTTGCAAATGCTACAATGGCCAATTAATAGGTTTTTGATTTCTAATGTATATTGACCACTTATTTTCTTTCTTCTGCAGATTGTAGCTTTGCGTGAACAAAATGCACACATTCAAAGGAAAATGGCAGCTGGGGAAGGGCCTGCCGAATCAGAGCATATTGAAGGAATGGAGCCAGGGCAAAAGGTTCATGAAAAGGTATAAAATGTTAGCTTTCACTGGATCACACAATCAATATGAGAAATAATCAGGTGTTGGATTTTTGTAGTGTGAATATTTTATAGGCCGTCCCTTTAGCATACTGTCTTCCTACTGAAACCAGTATCAAAGCCAGAGCTTGTTTAAATGGGAAGGAAATGCAAATGGGCACGTCCTTGCACTTTGATAAGGTATTGAGGCAGACCCACAAACTTTTATTGGCTTTTTTTACATAGTGCTACAACTAAGGATACCATACCCTGCTGAGTGATCTTCTGTACATCACATACAGAGGAGCCAGATGTAGCAGCACATATATGTGAAAGTGCATATATGCAAAACCTGTTGCCTATAAGGGGAGGAGAGAGACCTAAAAACTAGCAAAAGTCATTTACCTGTATGCTACCTATACTGTTCAAATTCATGTCCATGTTCATATAGAGAGAAGTGAAGAGCCTTTTATTTGCTTAGCGGTCTTTTAATAAGAATCGGTGTATATAGCATTTAGGCTAAGTATTTGCTGCTTAAGGCTGAAAGAGAAAACCAAGATAGGGAATACTTGATTTAGAAACAAGGTTTTCTTCTAAGCCTTGCTTTCGCAGATTGATAAAAAACAAGTTGCATATCTCCCTCTCCTGCTTCACAGTTATTAAATTAAAATGCAAGCATAACATAGCATTTGGCAGACAGCTGAAATGAGTAGAGCTGCTGCTTGGATCTCTAATTGTGCATTTTTCTCTAATGGCATGTGATGAACAGTGACATAAATCATACTTATATAAAATAACACTCATCATTACTTATTTATTTTATAGGCAATCCAATTTACAAGGGTGCACTTGCACTGCAAGCATTAATTTTACATGTTTTGTGGTTTATTTTATGTATCTATTTTTCTTTGAGTAATCTCTGTGGTTGAGAAACATACAGTAAACAAATTCTGTTCAGCTACTTTCCTCTTCCTTGTGAAATCTTACTCTTTGACACACCTGTGAAAATTTCTTAAAACAGTGAGCATCCCACTCACTTGTGCTTTTAAATACAACCACACTGCTTAGCTGAGTAATTTTCCAGTTTCTTCGCAAGCTATGACTTCTGATTTGAGCCATTGGGCTTGTTACTTGTATATGCTTAATGGTGTTTTATCAGAGATTAATTTGGATGGGAATGACTATTTTTATCCTCTAAGATGCCTTGTATGCATGAAAGGGTTCCTGGCTGACAGAGCACTTCAGCATGGATTTCTGTTACCCCGTAGACACTGACACCATCACTGCTGGGCTCGGCCTTGGCCAGCAGTGAGTCCATCTTGGAGCCGGCTGGCATTGGCTCTGTCAGCTCCCAGAAGCCACTCCTGGAAAGCCTTCCTCCCACCCCCACTACCAAACCTTGCCATGCAAACCCAATACAGGGTGTTTCTCTATGGAAGCACACTGTTTCTATTTTTAAACACTAGTAAAATACAAACCCTTTTTGTCCCTATTTGGTGCCTTCTTTTTTTTTTTTTTAATCTTTCATAAGTCACAATGATACTTATAACCTCATAATAAGGGAATTCTCCTTATTCCAAGGTCCATAACTGTACCATTAAAACTCTTTATCTATTTCTGTGGTATTACCTACGTCTTCTAACAAGTGTACGACACTTTCCTCTATGTAGTAAGAGCAGTTTTACCAGCATAGTTGTTCCCTTCCCCTCAGAATAATAAACCAGAATATTTTAGGCACATGGAAAGTGATACCTATACCAGGATAGGTACAGCAGTCTGATAGTTCTGGTGCAACAAATACCATTTTCTCTTAAATAAATAATGCTACATTTTATGAGGAACTCAGAGCGGCATATAATTACTTTTTACATGTATGAAACAGCAGGGGGTGTTTTACTTTACAATATACCTCAGGAAGACACATTCAGATTATTTAAGTATTGCATTTTTTCTTCTTACTCATAACACTAACATATTCCAATTATTATATCAAATGCCAGCAGTTTATAAATACAAAGATCTGTTAAAACATTGACAACAATTATAGACGTTGGATCCTGTAGGAGTAAAAGGTGTTTTGCCAAAGCAAACACAGATGGCTAAAATGTTTGAGTGCAGATCAAATACAATTAAAATGAAATAATAGAATAAAAGTAACAGTTCTCTTTCAGATCAATCATCAGAATCTGCTCCATTTTTGGATTTGACTATTTTGGGATTTTCTAATATTTTATGTGGTTAGCAGAAAACTATAGAAGAAAACTTTCTGTTTCTACTTATTAATTTCTATCACATGTGCTCCTTTGTTTTGAATGAAGAGATAAAAATCTTTCCCTTTAACTGGCAGCATAGTGGAAGGGCAGGGAAGGGAGTGAAGTCAGGACACTTGGAGCCCTCATCAGAAGCACCAGTTAAAAGAGGATTTAGTAGGGATGGAACACCAACCATCAAATGGGTGTTTGTAACTTAGAGTAAGTTTGCTGTAAGGACTTTTTGGTTTGCTGTTTATTGAGTGCAGACTGAATGCACAGTGTATAAAAAATTATGAGGGATGTGATCCTTGTCCCAGAGCATTCACATTCTGGATTAGAAAAATGATAGCCTTCAGACACAAAATACATTTGATAAGCAGATAATGGGTTTGTTTCCAAGCAGTGCAGGCCTGTTTCTGGTTTTCTAATCATCTCTTTCTGGATTAATATTGATCAAGCTAATTAAAGAAGTGGGTGCTGAAGGGAATTTAGTGAAGATTGATGTCTTGACACACCTGGGGAGGTGAGGAGTTTTCAGAATGAAAGGAAATACAGATAAAAGCCACAGCTGGGATTAGAAGTCTCTGTGAATCTAAGGAGTAAGTCTGGGAGAGTAAGCTATATTCTCTTTGAAAGAATCTAGGAAAATAATCTGTAAGTACTGTTCTGCTTAATAGTTTAGTATGTCTGTATGACTATGAATGCCTAGTGCTCAATGCTAAGGTGTAGGTATTGTATTATACTAAAAAGCTGCATTATTTACATGATAAATCAATAGGCTTCTCAGATTTTTAGTTTTTCAGCAAATCAGTTCTTTTTTTCAGCTCTTTGTTTCATATAAATTAAGTTCTCTTTCAGTCATACAAACTTCCTTTCCTTTTTACTAATACAAACCCCTATATGCTTCTGCATCTCAAGCCTGTTAAAACACTGCTATAAAAGTCTCATTACCTTTGCAGGGAAACTTTACAACGCTGTGCTGGCTGACAGCATTGGCTAACTGACCTTTGCTGGATGATTTGGTGCAAGGAGTCACCAGGCCAGTCATTTCTAAGGGTAGGCTGGTGAGACTGCTAAGAAAAAGAAGTTAGGGTGAATATGGGTGGGATTTGCATATATAATTTGGTTTGGGCAGCTAACTAGCCCTTCTAATAAAGAAACAGTGTGGTGAGTTGACCTCAGTTGGATGCCAGGTGCCAACCAAGCTACTGTATTGCCCCCCTACCCCAGCTGGACAGGGGAGAGAGAATACAATGAAAGGCTCAAGATTTGCAATTACCATCACTGGCAAAACATACTCAGCTTGAGTAAAATAATAATTTAGTTTATCTCCAATCAAATCAGAGTAAAAATAGAACTAAACCTAAATCTTAAAACAACTTCCACCCCACCCCTCCGTTCTTCCTGAACTCAACTTCACTCCTGCTTTTCTTTATCAACTCACCCTGATTGGAGCAGGGGGAAGAGGAATGTGGGTCACTCCCATAGGAGACAGTCCTCCATGAATTTTTCCAACATGAGTCCTTCCCACAGGGTGCAGTCCTTCTGGAGCAGCTTGCTCCAGTGCAGGCTCTCCACAGGATCAGAGCCTCCTTTGGGCATCCCCTTTCTCCAATGTGGGGTCCTCCCCAAGCTGCAGGTCAGTCACTGCTCCAGCCTGGACCTTCATGGCTACAGGGGCACAGCCGTCCTCACCATGTTCTGCACCACGGGCTGCCAGGGAATCTCTGCTCCGGTGTCTGCAGAGCTGTTCTTCTCACATCTTGTTCTCTCTGGCTGCAAAATTCTGCCCCTCTTCCATTATTTTGCTTTTCTTAACCATGCCATCGCAGAGGTGTTATGACTGCTGCTGATGGGCTCAGCCTTGGCCAGCGGTGCGTCCATACTGGAGCTGGCTGGCATTGGCTTTATCAAACACAGAGGAAGCTTCTAGCAGCTTTTCACAGGAGCCGTCCCTGTTGCCCTCCTGCTACCAAAACCTTGACACACAAACCCAATACTGATTTGTCCTTTCTATGTAAGATCCCAAGGTTCTTCTAACAGTGTAAAAGAGAAGGCGGCAGGCATTCTGGAAGAGACCGGCAACAAGAAGAAAAATTCCCAGCTATCTAGTATAACTATTTTCTTGCCTCATTTTGCAAAATGAGTAAAGTGTGAAAGATGATTACAGGCATCAGAAAAAAGAATAAGAGCTGAAAGCTGATCAGGAAGCACAGTTATTCCAGGTCTTTAAGGCTGTAATAAAAGCTGGGCTCTTTTGATGGCTTAATAGAAGGAGCAAGTAAGTGAGAATGCTTGGAGATAAAAGTGCTGGAGAAGGTAGCTATTTTTACATTGGTATTGGGGGGGAAGAAATACTTCAGTTGAAAGAATATTGGTGTTGATATTTGATTAGAGGTTGGAGAAAATTCGGAATAACTGATGAGGACATCTCTAACAATTATGAGATTACTACCTGACAGAATAAAATGTGGAACAACTTGGAGAAGCAGTGTAGCCTTCAAAAATGATGATGCAACCAACTGCTTAGGAATGACTGTGACAGCTTAGGTGTAATGCCCCTATTTTTGGCATGGCTTTTCACATTCTATCTCATGTGCTGATTATATGGGTGATTATCATACTGCTTTTGCTTGTTTAGTTGTCATTTATGATTGGGCTGTTGCATAGCTATGTAACTGTGTTAGTATTATATACTTTCTTTTAAAACTTTTGCATGAGGCATTTGCGTGGAGTCAGGGTGGAAGAACCCTACACC